CTTAAAGTTACTAATTATATGGAGGACAACTCCCATCATGCTAATTTACTATGAACTGTTTCTTGGAACCAATTCCTGCTTGCTTAAATCTTCTTTGCTTCAAGTTACTAATTATATGGAGGACAACTCCCATCATGCTTATTTACTATGAACTGTTTCTTGGAACCAATTCCTGCTTGCTCAAATCTTCTCTGCTTCAAGTTACTAATTATATGGAGGACAACTCCCATCATGCTTATTTACTGTGAACTGTTTCTTGGAACCAATTCCTGCTTGCTTAAATCTTCTTTGCTTCAAGTTACTAATTATATGGAGGACAACTCCCATCATGCTTATTTACTATGAACTGTTTCTTGCTTTGCAAATACTCTCTGCTACCTGCTTAATGTTTCTATTGAAGATTATTCCCAGCAACCTAAAGAATCTTATTAAATACTTCTCTGAGGAAATACTTATTAATGAACTTTGTATTGTTTGATAACCTGCACTTTCTTCTTATTGGATTATTGCCTATATGCAATTCATTTAAGTTTATCAATCATTAAAACTTTGTTTGATTCTCAAATTGCCAGCAATCCTCTCTTTTCTTAAAGCTACAGTATTGATACTTTAAAGATTATTTGTTTCTTCACTATTGTAATTAAGGAGTTCGACAAGCTGCAGTTGAGTTCCAATCCAAATAACCCAAGTAGAATAAGAGGTTGCAGGGCCAGATGAGACTTCTCCAATCTCACAATTATTCAATCCCCTGCATATAATCCCTCACAACAGCACACATATACAAAACAGGTGTCTCAAGTACATCTTACGCAGTTTATCAAGGACTAATTAGTTGCACTAGGTGTGCTTGAGCTGGAACACCAAAAATACCTGAACTGGCTAAGGGTTTGTTGAGTGTCTACCTGGATGGGACAGTAAAAGGGAGATATCAATGGCTGTAACCAGACTTCTGAGAAGGCAGGTTGCAAAAGACCTGCAGCAAGACTTAGTGGCAACAGGCACTGAGGTTTCAGTGAGCATAGTAAGGCATGTACTAAGTGCAGACTGTTTCAATGCCAGAACTCAAAGACATACATCACTACTGACCCAAAAGCACAAGGAAAAGTTGGTTTGAATATGCTCTGGCGCTGGAAATTTGCAGCATGAGTAAGGCAAGATGGATTCATTGAAGTATCAGGAAATCCTAAGAGAAAATGTCATGCCGTCTGTTAGGAAGATGAAGCTTGGGCATCATATGACCTTCCAATGATCCAAAGTATACCTCAAATTCCATCAAAGCTTGATCACGTGAAAAGCAATTCGAATATTTTACAGTGGCCATCACATTCCCCTGATTTGAACCCCATAACAAAAATCTCTGTTGGAATTTGAAGAAAGCAGTTGCAGCACGAAAAACTCAAGAATATTAATGAACTGGACGCAATTGCTCATGAGCACTGGGCTATGATTCCTCAGGAACGCTGCCAGAAGCTGGTGTCTGGCTATGCATCTTGTTTGCAACATGTCATAAAAGCAAAATGGTGTACTACTAAGTGCTAAAGATGCTTGCCATGAAGGCATTGAATAATTTTGAGACTGGAGATTTCATAATAAGATGCATTTTCAGTTGAATTTGGGGAAAACACTTGAAGCATTCATTGTATTGAGCTATTTCACTTGCTGTTGTTTGATTTGTTCATTGCAAACAGCCCAAGGTCTGTAAATTTTGACAATAAACCTGATTGTCAACAGGGGTTGAATAATTTTGATTACAACTGCAGAATTTTCATTATTTTTTCTACATTTTTTCCCTTTCTGATTTAGCGCACACAGCAACTGGTTGAGATGTATGCAATGCAAGGATGTATAATAATACATAAATGCGTAAATAAATATAAAGAAAAAAAAAACAGTCATCATTCTTAATGTATCTGCTCTACAGAGGTTTTTCAATATGGTGATAAGCATTGGCACAGTGTGAAAAGGGGGAAATAAGAAGACAAAAGAATGGAAATAATGAGGAGAAAGGAAGTTAGTGTTGAGTCCAAATACCTGTCAGTTATTAATATGGGCCAGTAAAGAAAAATGACATTCAAGGAATTATTAAAGTTAAAATATAAGGTAATTTCCCAAGGGAAATTCTTCGAACCATAAATGCAAATCTTGTCATGATTTGTGGTTGTCATGTATTATCACTTTCAATTTGCATATTTCCATTGCTTCAGAGATTTTGTGGTGAAATAAGTGATTTTTATAAATATTTGTGCATTTGCATTATGTGTCACCAAAATCTTTTTTTGGTTATGAGTTTATCTTTGGATCGGGTAAAGTCATCCAGAAGCCTAGACAAAAGGAAAGCTCAGGGGTCTAATGGTACTGGTTTGGATAGGACATCCAAAAGCAAAGTGGTCACAACAGACCAAAGAGGTTTTAGCTTATGGAAGTTCTACAATAGATGAATAAATCAGCCAATGTGGCCACACAGATTCCATCCAGCACTCTCGCAGAAAGGAGGGTACCGTTTTATGCAACTGAAGCATTTAAATAAATTACAAAAGAGAACTTTTGTAGTTAAGAAAGAAAACTAAAATATTGAAATCTTCATAGTATCTTAATATTTAATATATTGGTCATTGAACCAAAAATGTATCTTAAAATTAAATAAATAATAAATTATACAAATAAATTATTTAGCAACTAGCAAAGAGAATATTATAGATAAGTAGATGAATAAACATGCTGTTATCCTAGAACCATTTTAATAAAGCAAGCTTGACTAAAATTATCTCCTAATCCATTACATCACTGTAAGCATTGTGAGTGTTACTAAAAAAAGGTAGCTACATCTCCCTACCTACCTATTACCCTATCATCTAAGAGCCTTAAAACCAAAGAGGAATCTGCTTAATACACATCCTTAAAGTCTCTCATATGTGGAAGTTGATGGGTCATCAGAATTGTTGGTTAGTTGGTTAATAGGTTGGTTAAAAGATGTCAGATCCTCAGAGCAGTGAGCCTTGAAAAAGTTCACAAAACCCCAATATTCCGTCTTGATCTATGAGTGTATATATATATATATATATATATATATATATATATATATATATATATACTGTATATTTGTGGTGAGGGCAATATTGCAGTAATGTTTAGATAACATATAAATTGAAACAACATACAAATAATAATAACAACATAGTTTAAAAACTCCAGTCTGTTGAGGTATACCAGAACAGACAATGCAGTAGGCCTGTAATAAAAGAGGGCCCCTCTTAGAGAGTGAAATGAAAACAGGGAGTGGTGGAAGGGGCAACTTCCCAGACCAATAACCGTATGTGAGAGATGATTGGAGGCCCTTACAAAGGGGACCACAGGCCCCTCCCACAACTACAGGCCCAGCTTTAAATTTGTGGATGGGTCAATATTGCCGTAATGGTTAGATAACATATAAATAGCAATAACATATAAATAGTAATGATAACATAGATTAAAAACACCAGTTGGTTGTGGTGTGCCAGAACCGACAATGCAG